AAAAGCTATGAATATTTGCTACCTTTTAGTACAAAATTATTTCATCACATCGTGATAAGTATTCTACTTCCAAAATAATACCATCATGATGAATTTAGTCAAATGGAATTAGGAACCATGTATTAGATTATGGTAGAAAATAATAATTGTTTTAGATATCTTATATGATAAAATATGATTAAATTATCAACAAAGGATATGATGCTTCAATATGATGGCTTGATTACTAGAGTAATCCATGCACATGACATAGTCATTCTACTAGACGAATAAACCTTAAAATTAGATATATTTAATATCATAAATAGAAACCTATTAAGAAGATTGAGATATATAGTAAGAAATGAGGTTTGGATTAGATTATCTAGGAGGACTGATCCTCTCCCACCTGAACCAAAATTAGAAACACCTATATAAAGGGAAAGTCAATCTCCTCTTACTAGTTTCTTGAAGGTAACATCTCTAACATAGCCAACACCCTCCTCATCTGTCTCCATAGTAATTCGACTAGATTGAATTGAACTATGTCAAGATCAAATATTAACTAGGATACAGCAAATTCATCAACGCTAGTATATATATACACACAACAAATTCTTTTTATGTGTGGCATTTGATGAACCAAGAGTGTCCGTACCCGTAAAGCTCGTTGCTTTTTCTCCTATTTTTTCCGCTGCAATTTATCTCAACTATGTCGGCTCCGTTCCTTACGAAATTTAGCAGCTTAAATGGATTGTCGCAGACTGTTTGAGCTCATTTATTCACACTCGAAGAACTTCTAAGAAGGATGCTGACGTATGCATGGCCAGCAATCCTCTTGTCTCTAATTATCCAATGCAATGTATTTAAGAAACGAAATTTTAAGTTTAAGGATGATGAATATACTGGTTTTATTTCTATAAGTTTGATCAATATATATTGTATTATCTCTATAAGTGATGAGATTATTTCTATGACTCATAATTTGTAAGAAAGTTATCTTACCATTAGATCGTGATCTATCCTCGACTTCGACGCATGTAATGGGAATCAATTTTCTCACCGACAACTATTATTGTTTTTTAAGTTACATTTTATCGAGTTAAAAGAATCGGCAATAAGGAAGGATGAGTTGTGTCGACTTTAATCGTCCCAACTGGCTAAAAGGTTGAGAAAATTTAATACTGATCTGAGTCATGTATGAAACTAAGCAAATTAGATTTGGGTTTGGTTTGATTAGACCTGATAAGTTTTGATATATCCCATAGACAAAAATTTAGGACCTTAGTTAAGTCGATTCGAATACCTTTGTTCTGGATTGACTCATCACGGATGACCTTTATTGGCCATCTATTTAGATCAGACTGATCCAACACACATGCATATACAAATATTAGTTTTGGGTACCGAATTGACGTTGAACCCCGCTTGACCTGATGTTCGGATTGGGTCGGTGGGGTTCGGATTGAACCCAACCGCCGCTGCAGCTCTGCGGCTTATGGTCATCCACGTCTCCCGTCGACAAGAATCCACGGACGAGGTTCCCTTACCGTTACACTTTCTATATTGATGAGTCCACTCTCATATCCAGCGGTCGTGAACGTTCGGCCGCCATCTATTTGAGAACCGCAACGCGGTCATTTGGCGTCCACGAGGCCGTCTAATTATCATTCTTCGGTGTGATACGATGCGCTCGAGATGGGCCATATGAAGATGCAGCCAAAATTTTTTGACCGTTAGATTTACCAATCACACGAATCTCGATGCAATCACGCTGGCTTATACCCACTTCGATAGGATGCGCTCGACCTCACTGTATTGTTCCCTGGAAATACTTTTGTGCACTTTACCCCGTCACCTGAAAAGCTACTCGCATTGTTATTGAAATCTTATGAACGGGGCCATTCTTGGTGAGCCATTGATGCGGTGGTATCAGCTCGGGTAACAATGTTGCATTCATGGGAATCGCTACAGATATGCCTCTCTTGTCCTGGTTTGCCTCTCCTTCTCCATTGCCATTTCCCTCTTTATCTGTTGGTCGGAGAGAGGATCGAGAGCTCCGCTTCTTCTCCATCGCCGCCGCCGCCTCTCTCCTCTCTCACGGGGTTTCGTCGTTGCCTTCTAATCTGAGGTAGTTGTCGTGCTTGCCCTCTTGTGTTATTGGGTTTCTTCTACTTGTTTGTCTCAGGGGATGCAACCCTAAGTGTCGAATCGTCCTCGTGTGGTTAGATTCCCTTTATTGGGTTTTTTCTGGCTATGTTCTTGGATTGTTGTTTCTGCTTGCAACATCTTGTTAGTATTTTATTTTCTTGTCCTTGATTATTTGGTTGTTTCTTGGAAATCTAGGTTTTCATTTAATTGTACGCCTTTATGGCTTGCGAGTAGAATTAGCGCATAAGTTTAGGTAATATTGAGCTGAAATTGTCGCTATGCACATGATTGCTTCCAAATCTCCTTAAATGGTATCGTAATATAATACGAGAGATTAAATGGTGTGCAAATTTATATGAAATAAGGGTAATAGTTGGTGAATAATGTTTTTGATTCAATTTGTCTTAATGAATTAATTGATGTGGGATCTTTCAAGCTTATTATTACCTACCTAATTTTCTTTTTATATCTTTTTTTTTGTCTGTTAGTTCGTTTCAGAATTTTTTGCCCTGGTACATGCTGTATGAGTGATTATATTACAATGAATTAGAATATCATTGACACGTTTTCAATTTTCCTATCCATCATTTAATTTTTCGACTCTGGAACATTGATGCACCTCATTTCCTTATGCATCAATTCCTTCACAATTTAATTGTTTCTTTTTTGCTGTCTTTAACTTGCTAGAAGGTATGATCCTTTCTAGATTCAAGATTTCTTTTTGCTATCTGCATGTGGTGGCACCTTTGTTAATTTTTTATTCATGTATTGTCTAAATGTATTCGTAGATCATGCATCTTTTCCTCATACCCCAGGATTTGAAGCTTGAGTTCTCCAATCTTACCATAGTCCTTATGTGATTAACTATTTGTGATAATCATTTACTCATAGGGTATGGTAAAATTTGTCTGACAATTTGGTGCTGCCTGAAGGTGCTGCGAAGATCTGTGAAGTTGTTTCCCCTTTAGAAGGAGAGATGGCTGGTTCTTTGGTTCAATTGACAATTCTTCCTAGTGCTCTGGCAAACAGGAGACAAAGTCAGCTTCGGGGCTCTGGAAAGGCTAAAAGGGGTGCTAAAATGATGTGCCAACTGCAAATGCACCCCCTACGACTTCCAGGCTTTGCAGGCTTGCGAAGAGCAGATAATTTGGAGTTCTTCTCAAGAAATCGACATGATTTTCATTCATTGGTTTCAGTATATGTCTCCTATGCATGGGGAAAAGCCAGTCGAGGGGTTGCTAAAGCCATGTTTGAGCGCTTTACGGAGAAGGCAATCAAAGTTATTATGCTTGCTCAAGAAGAAGCAAGACGGCTGGGCCACAACTTTGTTGGAACAGAGCAGATACTGTTGGGCCTTATTGGCGAAGGGACTGGTATTGCTGCAAAAGTTTTAAAATCAATGGGAATTAATCTTAAGGATGCCCGGGTGGAAGTGGAAAAGATTATTGGAAGAGGAAGTGGATTTGTTGCTGTTGAGATACCTTTTACTCCACGTGCAAAGCGTGTTTTAGAACTCTCTTTGGAGGAAGCTCGCCAGCTTGGTACTTCTTTTAGGTCTTCTTCTGTGGAGTTTTGTTCTAAACTTTAGGTTTTGTTTTTATTAACTTGAAGTCTTCTGTTGAAAGCAATATCATAATGACTGCGTCTTGCTATCTTCTAATATCAGCTTGTTCTTTTTAGTTCATTCTAACTATGTTATCATGCGGATCATTCTCACTTGCTCTATAGTATCTTGGGGCCCTTTTGTTTCCACAAAATCGGGATGGGTTAGAGATGTAGTTTGTGATTGCATTTGTATTTAATATGAAGTAAGACTCAAAATTGAAGCCTTATACTGCTAGCATGGAAAAAAAAAAAGAATATCATTGACTTGATAGTCAAGTGGAACTTCAAATGCTAGCAGGATAATATAACTCCAGCCTGCTTTGTTGCAATTATCAATTACAGAAAATGGGCTTACTGATGTAGAATTTTTCTGAGATCAATGGAGTAAAAAAAAATTCTAACTGAAGCAAGATTTAGAACCTCTACACGTCTAATTAAACAGGCTGTTTGATGCCAAGGATCCATTTTTCAGTATTCCAAGCTAATGACTTGTACAATTATCACTATTTATCCCACTTGCACTGGCTAGGATTGACTGTCCCCTTACATGTTATTTGGGTTCTTCCAAGGGATTATTGGATTTCATGCCTTCCAAATTTTCGCACCGGCATTTGTCAACAAGCATGATTACTTGAATGAATAACTTCTTCTTCTTTTTCTTTCTTGTATTAAAGTTTGACTTAATGGTTGTTTGTGCTGTTTCAGGTCACAACTACATAGGATCTGAGCACTTGCTTCTTGGGCTTCTTCGTGAAGGTGAAGGTGTGGCTGCTCGTGTTCTTGAAAGTCTTGGAGCTGATCCAAGCAACATACGTACCCAGGTAATTTTTTGTTTAGACCTTGTTCCATACTTTTGTGAATTTTTTAGTAGTGCTGTGACTTGTGGGCTTTATCATGGGATAGGTTATTCGAATGGTCGGTGAAAGCACTGAAGCTGTTGGTGCCGGGGTAGGAGGAGGAAGCAGTGGCAATAAGATGCCCACACTTGAGGAGTATGGAACTAATTTGACAAAGTTGGCAGAGGAAGTAATCTTTTGAACATTTTACTCCGAAACATGCTTGTTTATTCTTACGATTGAAGGATTAATGTATGCAACAAATGATTATTCCACAGGGAAAGCTAGATCCAGTCGTTGGCAGGCAGGATCAGATAGAACGCGTTACACAAATTTTGGGAAGGCGTACAAAGAATAATCCATGCCTAATTGGGGAGCCTGGTGTTGGAAAGACAGCCATTGCAGAAGGTCTTGCTCAACGCATAGTTAATGGAGATGTTCCAGAAACAATTGAAGGAAAAAAGGTTTGTAGATTTTTTTATCAGTGTACTTGTGTATCAGTATTGGTGATGTTTGCTGTTGTGTTTAAAGTTGCCTATAATGACTTATTAGTGGAAGAGCTTTTTAGTGCCTCCTGCAGGATCACAATTTTCTCTCTTATTCTGCTTCTAAAGGAACTTTGTAATACAGGTGATTACCCTTGATATGGGTCTTCTTGTTGCTGGTACTAAATATCGTGGAGAGTTTGAAGAAAGATTAAAAAAGTTGATGGAGGAAATTAAGCAAAGTGATGAAATAATACTCTTCATTGATGAAGTACACACATTGATTGGAGCAGGAGCAGCAGAAGGTGCCATAGATGCTGCTAATATATTAAAACCAGCTCTTGCAAGAGGTGAATTGCAGGTAGAGTTTATGATTTTATTTATTTATTTATTTTTTGTGTTTGTGGTATGTGATCTCAACCTTTGTGTTAGGAATCAGTTATCTTCATAACATATTTTTCTCTCTGAAATTTAAAGCATCTTTTTGGCAGTAATTTGTTATCTCATTTGTTTCAGTGTATTGGAGCCACAACACTTGATGAATACCGGAAACATATCGAGAAGGATCCTGCTTTGGAGAGACGCTTTCAACCTGTAAAGGTTCCAGAACCAACAGTAGATGAAACAATACAGATTCTTAGAGGGCTTCGTGAAAGATATGAAATTCACCATAAACTTCGTTACACTGATGAGGCTTTAATTGCTGCTGCTCAGTTGTCCTATCAGTATATTAGGTTTGTGAATTATGTTAAATTACTTTTGTGTTTAACAAACCTAACAAGCCTTAAGTTTATTTAATTTACTCTGTGGTTGATTCTCCTCCTTCCCCTCTCCCCCAAACCCCCCCCCCCCCCCTTTCTTGCTACATGTAATAGGCAGGCAGTGTTACTTGTATTCTATCTTGGTTCTCTTTTCATAGTTTTACTTAAGTAAATACTTGAAATGGACTGCACTAGGTTGTGTTCTTGTCTTTTGTTCATGCATTTATACTAAATCTTCCTGTATTGCTATGGTACAAGTTTTAGTTGAAACACAAAAGGTTTAGATTTAGTGGGCATAAAGATTTGAAAAAAAAAAAAGATGACAAGGATTCATGTGTTAACCTCACAAGTTGGTCACCTGATGAAGAAACGATTCAACTTGATTCAGACCCAACAAGGCTACTCAACAAGGATTCACTAGGCAGTGTTCTTGTCTTTGTTGATGTATTTATAATAAATCATCCTGTCTTGCTATGATGCAAGTTTTGATTGAAACACAAAAGGTTTAGATTTAGTGGGCATATAGGTTTTGAAAAGAAAAAGATGACAAAAATTCACTGGATACATGTGTTAAGTTAAAAGTTTGTCACCCGATGAAGAGATGAAGAAACGACTCGACTCAGTTCGGTCTCGACAAGGGGGCACATTGTGTCATCACGGGATGTCAAGGAATGGTCGGAGAGGAATCAGATAGCTGATGGAGTTGGAATGATCAACAAAATCACTTTTGAGATGCTACCCAATTTCCTATAGTGTCGCCCGAGACCCTGCAAAAGGTTGATGTCAGGAGCAGTTTGATTCGGTTTCTCCTATGCTTAAGTTAGCAATATTCGAGGTGTAGAGGAAATAGGGATTTGGAAGAGAGAGAAAAGAATGAGAGAAATATAATTATATTTAGGGGTCTTGTAGGTAGCTTGATAAGGGGGCTCAATCACCTGTAGAGGCGACTGAACTACTTGCTTGCTGAGGTGGCCAAACTGGGGTATCGGACCACTAAGGTAGAAGTCCTCGTTGCTGAGGTGGAAATGCTTGTGTCTCAGTTATGTACTGGTCCGTTTTATCCTCTATCAACATGAAGATTGAAGAAGTCATTTTCATTGTTTGCGGAACACTACAAAATAAAAAAATTGGACACTACAAAATAAAAAATTGGAGCCTTAGAATTACATGTTTTCATTGTTTGCTTATTGTGCCTATTTTTTTCATTTTCATGAGGCATGACATATTCTAGTTAATGCAAAACTTTGTTTGGTTGTTTTTAGATTTGGTTCCATTAAGGGCGGGTCTTGGTACAATGGGAAGGTTGCTGCTTTATGACCTGGGAGGTTAGGATCGAGAAACAGAAACCGTCTCTTTAATTGACCCTGACCCTCCCTAGACCTTGCATTAATGAGAGCCCTGTGCATTGGGTATGCCCTAGATTTGGTTTCATTGGGAATGAATTGTACCGTAATTGGTTGATCGACTTCCTAGGAAATATTCATTATGCTACAAGTGACATAATATACTTGTCCTTGATTCAATTCTAGTTTCATTGATTACATGTATCTGTGCCCATTGTTCTTTTGTGTCTTGCTTACAGAAACATTGAACACTAAATTTGTCACCATTGCAAAAGCTTAACTTAATTGTTTGATTTTGAGTTCTCAAATTTAATTGTGTTTTAAATAATTATACAACAAGAAGCCATTCTTGCATATTTATAGAAGTGCATATTATTCAACTAATGAAATGGATCAAAACTTTTTTTGCATGATACTATTATGTGGCTCTATATGCACCAACATTTGTGCTAGTCTAATCTTGGCATGACTTACATGCAACTTGTGTTAGACTTGGATTGGTATTAAGTCATAGATTAGATCAAGTGTACCAAGTATTTGATCAATTTTTCTTGGTGTTGTGTCAGGTGTTCTGACTTGTGCTTGGTTGTGTTAGCTTTCTGTGCAATTGGATCGGATCAGTTTCTTGATACATAGAATCCATCTAGAATTTGTGTGTTTGTTCGTGATGCTGTATCTGTTTTATTTGAACCAATTCCATTACCTAGTTTCATTTGGTTATTCAAATGAATTTTCCATCTGGGTTAGTGCATTTAATGTCAATAATTTCTGCTTAGATAGAGTCCCTTCACCTGATCTTTTGACCGTCTTTCCACCTGGTCTTTTGACCTTTGGTGCTTGCACACACTGTTTGTTTTATAATTCACTTAGGCTTTTGGTGTTCTATCTAAAAACCTTAATTTGGAGCTTGTGGGAAGTTCTGCTGGCAACTGATAAAAAAATTAAAATTTTCTTCCCATTTGTAGTATAGAATGAGTGATTAAGTGTCTTTACATGATGAAGACTCCCATCTTTTCACATGTGCACAATAAAATTACTCCTCTCTCCCTTTTAGTTTTACATATTTGGTTACAACATTCTATATTCTTCTTCTTACTGAAATTGAGACCTTTTTATTTTCTTCACCTGTAAACAGTAGCATGTTGTCGCCAATATTTTCTTTGATAAATGATTGCTTAGCCTTTATGTATAAGAGAAATCAGAATCATAGAAGAGAATCCGTCTCTCAAAACTGAGCATTTATCGGAAGCTTGAATTCCTTCACTGAGGTCTGGTGGACCCTATGTGAAGTTTGTACCGTTCTTTATTTAGTTGTTGAGTCCCCTCTCTTCTTCACCACTAGAGCTTGGTTATGCTGCCAAAATATTTTAACAAAATAAAGGTTCCGAGTGGATGGAATTTTAGAGATGAACATGTTAATATGTTGATATAGTTTTCAGGCACCTCTAGAGCCACTAATGGAAATCTTGGTCAAAGTTCACTTTATTGGAGCCTTAGAGATATATATTTAAATGGTATATTCGGGGCAAGAAAAGCATTTTCTAGAGTCAACGCTCATTGGTATCCAAGCAGTGAGTGCACACCAATACACCAACAACTTGTTGTAGAGTAGAAATTAACTTGCTGGAAACCCTAACACTCTGAAGGCAAATTAAATCTTTAAGAAATGCTGCTGAACAACACTGAAGCACCTGCAATCTCTTCTTCTAACTTCTGTTCTTTGAAATAAAAAGAATATCCTCTTGATTTGACCTATTTTTTAGTCTTCATAACTGATGAAACATGAATTTCTACAGCATGCATATCATCTTTTGTATGCCATAGGAAAATTGAAGAGGAACATTTTCTTATACGGAGTACAAGTTTGAAGCCACTGGAAGCTGGTTTCTTTTCTTTTGCTAAAGTTTCTTAGATGTTTATTATTTTCTTGCTAATGTATGTAAGGCCTTTTTCTTCTTAGAAAATATACTTCTCTATCCTTAGTGGTTTGGATTTTCTGTAATTGTCACTGTGGATCCCTAAAAGTTACATTTTCACTGGCATAGACAACTTATCCCATCATAACCATTACGATTACCTACATTTCAGGATTAGTTTCAGCTTTAATGACATCTTTGCCATGACCTGTACAATGTTACAATGCTAGTGCCACTTTTGGTGCGACAACATTACCATGACGTGTGCTGCCACCATCTCTTGACCATTCACCAAGTTCAGCAACTATCATCCTGGCAATCACGATCGTCCTTGTCATGCTCTTGTTATCATCTCTTAGCACTCTGATAGCTCTTTCTTGATTATCTTATTATTTCAATGAATTACATCTATTTTTGTTGCTGGCAAAAACTTCTCACTCCATGTGACAAATGCTTGAATTATCACAATTTTTTTATCTATTATGGTTTATCATGCCATGCTGTGAATTTTTGTTAAGTATTTTAAACCTTTTCATTCGTCTTCGTTTATCGATCTTTAAAAGCAGCAAATCTTTCTATTTTAGTGACAGTTCTTGTTCTATCATTAATGCATCAGTGGAAGTTATCTTTGATCTTGTACACCTTTCTTATACATTGTGCTGTACCTCCAGTGATCGATTCCTACCTGATAAAGCAATTGACTTGATTGATGAAGCTGGGTCTCGTGTTAGGCTTCGCCATGCGCAGGTAAGGTCTTATATTATCTAGTACTGTGATTGGTTATATGTATTGAAGTAAAACTTGCTCTTGACAGCTTCCTGAGGAGGCAAGAGAACTTGACAAAGAGCTTAGGCAGATTACAAAAGAGAAAAATGAGGCAGTTCGCAGCCAAGATTTTGAAAAGGTACATGATTTATTTTAAATGAATCTCGAGAAAATATGATTTAATTGCATCAAGTATCATTCAGCATAAAGATGTGATTGCCCAACAACTTCTAAGTTGTGTTTTAAGCATGTGCTATTCTGGGATTGTATGCAGGCTAGAAGATCGAATGATTCCAAATGTATGATTTAAGTATTTTAGCTAAATTAACAATACCTAATCTTATTTGTGCATCCTGTAGCTCTTCCTATATGTGAACTTGAAATACCATCAAATTCAACTCTTTTGACAGGCAGGGGAATTGCGTGATCGGGAGATGGAGCTGAAGGCTCAGATCTCAGCCTTAATTGACAAGGGCAAAGAAAGAAGCCAAGCAGAGAGCGAGGCTGGTGATTCAGGTCCTGTTGTAACAGAAGCAGACATACAACACATTGTATCTTCTTGGACTGGAATTCCTGTGGAGAAAGTCTCAAGTGATGAGTCTGACCGTCTTCTTAAGATGGAAGAAACTCTCCATAAACGTGTGATCGGCCAGGATGAGGCCGTCAAAGCGATAAGCCGTGCCATTCGTCGAGCTCGTGTTGGTCTCAAGAACCCCAACCGCCCAATTGCTAGCTTCATATTTTCTGGTCCAACTGGTGTTGGAAAATCAGAATTGGCCAAGGCACTAGCTTCGTATTATTTTGGCTCTGAGGAAGCCATGATCCGACTCGATATGAGTGAGTTCATGGAGAGGCACACTGTTTCCAAGCTCATCGGCTCACCACCTGGTTATGTTGGTTACACTGAGGGTGGTCAGCTTACCGAAGCAGTTCGTCGTCGCCCTTACACGGTTGTCCTCTTTGATGAGATAGAGAAAGCCCACCCTGATGTTTTCAACATGATGCTCCAGATTCTGGAAGATGGGAGATTGACGGACAGTAAGGGGCGAACAGTAGATTTTAAGAATACCCTCTTGATCATGACCTCCAATGTCGGGAGCAGTGTGATCGAGAAAGGAGGGCGTAGGATTGGTTTTGATCTTGACTATGATGAGAAGGATAGCAGCTACAACCGAATCAAGAGCCTTGTTACGGAGGAGTTGAAGCAGTACTTCCGGCCAGAATTTTTGAATAGGCTAGATGAAATGATTGTTTTCCGACAGCTGACGAAACTGGAGGTCAAGGAAATTGCTGATATAATGCTCAAGGAGGTATTTGACAGGCTGAAAGCCAAGGATATAGAGCTCCAAGTGACAGAGAGATTCAAGGATAGGGTGGTGGAGGAAGGTTACAACCCAAGTTACGGAGCTAGGCCACTTAGAAGAGCCATAATGAGGCTCCTGGAGGATAGCTTGGCTGAAAAAATGTTGGCTGGGGAGATCAAGGAGGGTGATTCGGCTATTGTGGATGCCGACTCTGAAGGAAATGTTACAGTTCTCAATGGCGGGAGCAGTGTGCCTGAATCAATGCCCCCGGTCGTTCCTGTATAGAATCAGTATCCTGTGGCATCACCATGGCACGATGCCATGTTTACAAGGGTAGGGGAAGGGAAACACCTGTTTGATCCCCCATTTCACAGCATCCAGATGATTCATATGTGAGGATATTAACAGCAAAGTTTCCTGTTACGAGAGAACCCAATCATTGGATTGTCTTAAATCATATGAAAATATAAAAAAAAGATGCTAGGACTGAAGTGAGACATGGATGAGGGATTATGATCTTATGTTATCATCTGTGTTGGATGTGGGTAAATGACTTTGAATGAATCCGAGACAGCATTGCGATATCATTGTTTCTTGATCGATGAAAAGAACAGGTTTAGTTGTAGATCATGGTATTTGGTAACAGTAAGTGATGGTGTACGACAAGACTAATTACCTGGTGCTTGTGATGTCCAGTTTACCTGTGATAATGTTCATTTGCTTGTTGGGTAACTTCGCTTGATCCTTTTATCATTGCTGCGGATGACTGCACACTCGTCTTTCGTTCTCACACAGGATTTGCTGATGATCATGGAACCATGTGGGTTGTTAGGAGTTGGGTTGCTGATGATCATGGAACCTTTTCTCTTTTATGGAAACCATCAGTTGAATCAGTCCGATTTTGTTCGAACTTGCTTGCACAATAAATCTTCATCGACAGTCGAAGTATTGAGAGTAAATAATGACTGATCTTGATTACTGTGATTTGTACTCGGTTCGATTGGAAAGAATATTTTATGATATAGATCAATATCATGTGACTCGATTATTGACCTTATGGTTATTGACTTCACGGTATAGATCGTTATCGTGACTTATTGATCTAGACGTTGGCCACCGTGATCTGATCGGGATGAATATTTTCATTGCAACTGGGGCCATCATGGTCTGAATGAGTCGGTCATATATGTTTTGAGTTCTGATTGCTAATGTGTGTAATAGTATAAATAAAAAATGTCAAGAGGAAATATATCTTTTACTGCAGAAAAAGGATCAAACGGATGGATGAACTGAAGAAGGAAGCGGATGAACCGAAATATAAGGGTAATTTGGATTAATTTTTCTTCAGAATCAATAATAAATAATTAAAGAATTCGATGATGATCTAATTAGTAAAGGAAAAAAAAATAAACTAAAGAATAAGGAAGAGAGACAGAGAGAGAGAGAGAGGACAAGCCAACTGCAGACCATTGAAAATTTGAAGACGACATTGGGTTCATGTAATTAAAATTTTTTTCATGCCGGCGCTTAGCATTTGTAACGTTGTCTGTGTGTGTCTCTCCAGAATCTATGGACCTCACTCACTCAAAAATCAGATTCAAATAATTGAGTTTCGATTAAAGTTCAATTCAGCTCAACTCAATTTCTGATTGAAATCTAATATGATTTGATTCAACTCAGAACTCAATCAAATCTAAAGTCATGCCCCCTTTTGAGTACCCAATGGGTCTTCAACTAAGAAGAGAGAACAGAAGATGAGAAGGAAACCAACAAGACGACAGACAACAATATTAGTTAGTCTAGGATAACTTCCTAACCATGAATAGTAGTAGAAGAAGAGAAAGAGAGCATCCACAATCCTTCTTTAACAACCATTCAGATCAGCAAGCAACAAAGTCTTCTTCTTTCAGCTTGTGACGAAATTCTATAATAGAGAACCAATGTCAACCAGCATCTTCATTCTCAACATCCAAAGATGCAATAGCAACCTCAACGAATAACAATCCTTCCATAGCCCTATAAGATGTGTTGTCAGATTATATAGAGGAGTGAGGAAAGGGAGAACCAGCAGCGAGCAATCATCTATCTTAGCTTGTTACACGAGAACTTCCAAGCAATCATTCCTCAACAACTCTTTTCTTTAGTTTCCTATTTTAGGCACTTTAAATTCATAATAAGATTAGATTAATTTTTCCTTTTCTAAGTTATGTTTATTGCAGTAAAGGCACAACTTCTCTTTCAAAATTTTTATTTGAAAAGTGATAATGGATCATCACTCCCGAATCTCATATGGAACAAGTGGTATTAGAATAATGATTTTGTAGATGGTGACCACAAGGCAACGATACAAAGCCTTAAAAACTAACAAGTCACACTCACTTAAAGGAAGAACTATCGATGAGATGATGGCCAATACCCCGATAACATTGGCTAACTTTACTTCCTAGATGATAATATTAGCCCAATAGATAAAGATCATGATAGACTGAATATAAGCCTAAACCAATCCTACAAAGAAAGATGACCAAACGAAAAATGTTATAGTAAAGGAGAGAGAGTTGTTTCCATCCAAGAAGTGCAGCCACGAAGAAGATGCTGCCATGCAAAACATCATAATAAGGACTCAACCAAAACATCACAATAACGACTAAACCATTTTGTGTCAAGGCTCGCATTGACATACCCTCTTGCAACAACTCAATTAACATTGAGGTATTAAACTCATAGATAGATCAATTCAATACTTATTTTGATCTATATAATTACAACAGTAAGAATAGAATGATGCTTGCATGACTCAAGTCAACTGATAAAGACAAATCATGAACATAATTCAAAAAACTCATACTAGAAGAATTCTACCATATAATTATCTTGAAGAAAGATAGAGGAAGTAACACTACTTATGTCAAAGACAATAGGACCAATTTGTGCAAGAATATACCATCTGAGTTTCGACAACAAATGGTGGCACTCGGAATCTCCCTTGATAATCATGTTGAATCTCGGATTTTGATGATGAAGTCAATTGTCATTTTTTATCTAATCTATATGTTGAGATAAGTGTGCAGGATTAACTATGATGAAAGTAAGACATGCAGTAGGAGTTGCGCCGGAGTCAAGACAATGATCACGTTGGGAGTTCGAGAGTTCGACGGAAGTTCGGACAGTCGTCGGAGGTTCTGAGGGAACAAATCCGAGAAGTCCATAAGCTTGCCAAAGAAGCTCGTCGGAACTCGCCAAGTGAATCGTCGCAAGTCCAGGAGTTTGCCGGAAGTCCGCAGAAGCATCACTAAGGGTTCATCGGATGATCGACGGAAGTTCGCCGAAAGCTCGCCGAAAGAAGCGATTGACGCACCGGAGCAAGTTGCAGTAAATGTCTTAGGAAAAATCGTAGTTAGCATAATGATTAAGTTGGAAATGGGAGGTGATCCCATTAACTTAATCTTGGGGCAATTGGGCCCCTGAAAAACCCAAATTGGGTCGAATGGATCAACCCATTCGGACCCTGATTTCTGCCAGGCGGTTGAACCGCCCAAGGCAGGAGGTTGTACCGCCTGGGCTCAGTCTCCGAGCGAGACTGGGAGGTGCAACTACTCCAGCTAGGCGGTGGCACCGCTTGGGCTTAGTCTCCGAGCGAGACTGGGCGGTGCAACCTCCCCTAACAGGAGGTGGCACCGCCTGAGCTCGGTCTTCGAGCTCTACCAAGCGGTGCAACCGCCTCAGTCAGGAGGTGCAACCGCCTGAGCTCGGTCTTCGAGCTCTGGCAGGAGGTGCAACCGCCCCTGACAGAGGTAGCACCGCCTAGAGGCTCAATCTTCGAGCTCTGCTAGGCGGTGCAACCGCCTCAGTCAGGAGGTGCAACCGCCTGATCCCGAAATTTCGGGAATTGACAGTTTTGAGCTCCAAATTTGAACTGGGTTGGGGCCTATAAATACCCCACCCATTCAGCACTGAAAGAGCATGAACTTACACCGAAATTTTGATCTTTTTCTGTGATTCTTAGAGCTCAAAATTGTTGTAAAGGCCAAAAGTTCTTCTCCCTCTGTTCTTCCAAGTTCTGAGTTGTAAAGAGAGGAGAGAAAATTTTGTAAGGGTTGTCTCCTAAGCCCGTCAAAAGGAGTGAAACTGTAAAAGGGTGGTTGGCCTTCGCCTATTGAACGAAAGCCTTTAGTTGACGTCGGTGACCTCGTCGGTGGAGGAAGCCAAAAGTGGAGTAGGTCAAGATTGACCGAACCACTCTAAATCTTAGTTTGCATTTACTTTGAGCATATTATCTTTACTGCAAACCTCCTCTAAAGCTTACTGCTTTCTGCGCATTTACGATCGGGTTTCAAGCTTTGCACTTTCCAAATCAGCGCTTAGACGTAAATCTGTTTTTTCGTACGATCATCATATTTCAGTTTGCGTTTACGTTTTGATTTCAATCATAACTGCAAACTGCCTTTATATGCTTGCTTAAACTACATCTCACCTAATCAAGTGATTTACGAATCAGCATTTAGACGTAAATCAGCTTTTTCGTACGAACGTCGTATTTCAGTTTGTGCTTATATTCTGGTTTTCATCATAACTGCAAATTGCCTTCATAGATTGATTTTAACGTCATTTCGCTTGATCTTAAGTTAAAGTAATCTTAGAATCGGCTTTCACACCGAAATCGTTTTTATCGTTCAAACGTGTTTTATCGTTGAAAGATTTCCGCTACACTAATTCACCCCCCCCCCTCTTAGTGCTCTTAA